CTACTACAGCAGCCTATCTCACAGTGGCCAGCCAGTTCCTTTGGCAGTCCAACAACAGGACATAGTGGCCGAGGCCTTCCCCTGACATTGCCTCCTGGTATTGCTATTCAGAGGTTTTTACTACCTTTAAACGTGGAGGTCTCCATTAATCACCATGGCTAGTAGCTACTGATAGTCCTATCCTCCATTCATTTGTCTAATCCTCTAAAAGCCATCTATGCCATCACTACATCATCTGGTAACAAATTATACATTTTAACTGAGTAAAAAAGTATTTCCATTTTCCCTCCTGAATCTACTGCCCATCAACTTCATTGGTTGTCCCAGAGATCTAGTATTGTGGGAGAGAGAGAAAAAGGTCTTTCCATACTCTTTAACCTGTGCATAATTTTATAAACCAATTATCAGGCATTTATTGTTACGGCAACAAGCCATAGAACACACATGCTTAAATATAACATTCATATAACTGAATTTAGGACAGTAAAATAAAACTCTATAAAAATACAGTTGAGTGTAATAAAGTAAAAGAAGAACATAAAACGGAGACTATTAAAGTAAAGGTAAAGGTTCCCTGGCACCTATTATTATATATTTGATCGTGTATTTCGGATGCAGTAGCATGCTACCCAAAATTTTGCCACAGTTTTGGTAATCATCCGGTTCCCATCAATTAACAATCGGTTACACTGCTCAGCTCCTGACTGTCCCACCATATCTGTTATAAGAGGAGTAATATATTTGTCACGGATCTTGTTATACCAGTTACATCTGAGCATCATGTGCTTAATAGTTTCTCTCTCCTGAGCCGCATTGACAGAGTCTATATTCAGTGGGGATCCTTATGAATCTGCCCTCAGGCATCGCGGAGGGGAAAGCCTCACATCTGGCTAATGGACCACATCACGCCAGCCCTTCACGATGCGGAGTTGCATCGATTTCCTCGCAGGGAAACCTCTTTCGTTGTCTCTTTTCTAAACTGAAAAAGTCCAGACTCTTCAGCCTTTCCTTGTAAGAAAGGTGCTCCAACCCCCCTAATCACTTTGATTGCAGTCTTCTGAACTTTTCCCAGCTCTGCAGTGCCCTTTTTAGATATGGTGACCAGAACTGCACACAATATTCCAAATGATTTTGCACCACAGATATATTCAGGGTGAGGGGAATAGTACTGGCCCTTTCATTTTCCATCCCTTTCCTAATAATCCCCAGCATAGAAGTTGCTTTTTCACTGATGCGGCACACTAGGTTGACATTTTCATTGAGCCATCCACTACAACCCCAAGATCTTTCCCCTCTCTCAGTTGAGAGTCTAGTAGCATATACTAGAAGTTGCAGACTTCTTGTTCCAGTGTACATCACCCTTACCTGAACTGAACTTCCTTCACTATATTGTCATCCACCCACCCGATTTGTGGAGTTCTTCACCACTGACCTTGGTTTTCACTATCCTGAATTCTGATGTCTTCACCATTGACCTTGGTTTTCACTATCCTGAATTCTGCAGTCTCAGACTTGACCACTACACTTCTCACCCCCTACACATTCCAGATCATTTATGAACAAATTAAATAGTACCAGCCCCAATACCAATTCTGGTGGGACCCCACTGGCTACTTCCCTTGATTGTATGAAAAAAGCACATATTGATGCCAGTTAAACTAGTTCAACACTACTACAAAGATCCATGAGTATAAGGAATTTTTGAGTCATATTTGTTTGAAATGGATTTGCTTTAAGTTATTAAAAATATTATATTATGGGATTCTCATATCTCAGCATTTTGGTTCTGTCATATAAACACGTTCAGAAGTTGTGTACCTTATCCCAGTTATGTGGTTTTAACTGGATATTATACTATCAATTTTATTATGAAATATAATCATTAGATTTCTCATGCTATTTTGACTGAAGTTCTCAGGATTAACTATATTCTATCCTCATGAACCAGTAGAAAGGGCCTTTTCAGATACTTTGTATTTCTCTTCTGCAAGCTTATCAGGAATTGTCCCTTTGTAGCAGCCCCTTAGTGTACACCCAACATATTAGGTAAATAAGCCTGTCACTGTAGCTCAATTACTATAGTGAAATCTCTAATGCCTCTTCAACATCTCTGTTTACTGTACCTTTTCTAGAAAAGAGACTTTATTTTGAACATGTGGTAGAGTACACCAACACCAATAGTCCTCAGCAGCTCCATAAGTTTACTGTTTTTAAGAGGTCAGTGTACTGTATCCTAAACATTTATACTTAGTGCTTGATTACTTTTTGTGTGATCACTTAGAACAAAAAACATGCCTCTTAATGACAAAACATTTAAAAAATTTGAAAGTTAATTTTATTTTGTTTTCTATGATTTGATGAATGATGCTTGAGCTCAGTATTTAAGGGAGTGCCTCTTTTCTGCCGTTCCAGTGCGATATTAAAGAATAATTTCTGTGGTTACATTTGAGGCAGTAACAATAGCTACTTCAGACACATAGAATGTTCTGTGGACAACCATTAAAAAGCTAGCTTTATTGGTGGGGTGGGGGAGAAGAGAGTAAGCCCATGTATCCAGTTGGATTATTTTGAGGCTGTAGATAAACTGCTAACACATAATGAAAAAGTCCGCTTATTTGTATGGTATTTTGAAGCAAAAAGACAAAAATATATACACTGGCTCTCTGATACTCCTTAGGCTAATTCTTCGTTTTCTTGGTTTAAAAATTATTTCATAAGCAAATATGAAGCTTGTCTCCTTATTTAGAAATGAAAGAAGTTTGATTTGAATATGTATGCATTTTTTCCTGACAAAATATTGAAAGTATATAGCATGTAAAATCAATACAATCAGGAATGTTACATAAAGCACATTAAAATGTCTTCAGAAATATACTGCCTTGTTTCCTTTGTATACCTATAATAGACTGAAATATAATAGACTCCCACTGAAATCCACATCTGAGTTTGAAATGCTTTTAAACAAGAGCAGGCAATATAACACAATTCCAATGATGTTATAATCGTTAAATTCCAAAGGAAAATATAGTTCTGATGATTGCCATGAAGTTTAGGTAGGATAACAGAAAATTTTAAGTGTACAGAGAGACAGTCAAGAGTGTCAGAGCAGGAACAGGGAGAATAAGGTTCGTATTTCCTCTCAGTAACAAAATAACATGTAATTTCCAAGTAACAAGATACAAAGAAAGAATCTCAGCACAAACAGGAAGTATCCTAAAGATGGTGCCATTTGGGCACCAAAGCCTATTTATTTAGGCTTTACATCATTAGATTCAGGTAATACCATTCAATTTGTGGGTACTTTTGGTTAGTTTTAATCCATATACAACTTTATGAATTAACTGGATTATAGTTTAAGCCTTGTCTGCTACACACTGGTTCTGTTAAAATCAGCGGAACAGTCTCCTGTATAGGCATTGAAGCTCCTGTAGCCAGAGATGAATCTTGGTTCTTGATACAAGAATCAACAAGGACGGCTAGAATTCCATGTGTTTATTGCACAGTAATCATAACAATGTACATTGGAAGGTCTGTAGCTACCTATTAACAGTCTTTATAAAATTTTTGAAATGTTTCTTTTAGAATGCAAATTTCATCTGCTCTGAACAGCAGCAATACAACAGTCACTGAAGATTTCCCCCCGAAGTCAGTTCTAAAAACCAGCTTCATGATCCAATCAGCTTTCCTTTCCCAACACTGTAACACTGCCATTTTACACAATTAAATGGTGTTTTAACCCATTCACAAGTTTTCAATGACATTTCATATACATCCTTTTAAAGCTAGAGCAACTTTAATTGTGTCAACAGCCCATAAGCAAACACCTACGTTAAAATCCATTCTGTCTCACATGCTCAGAAGTATTCCTTTTCTCTTGCAGCCTCAAAAGGGATCCATCTTTAATGCTAAAAAGAGAAGGCATTGCTGCAACATGTGGGGGGAGGGGAGACATGACATGAGTCAAACATTGGAATGATTAAATAATCTGCAAGGCTGAGCTATAGGACATACTTTACAAGGCACACACTACAGTAGTTGCACCACTAGGTGCATTTATTAGATTTAAAAAGCTATACACAATATAAAGTTTATATCCATATTCACTTTACAAATATTTACAAGCTTTCATGTTACTGGTATACAAATGCTCGCACATGTGCTTATACATATATACACATACACACATGTGCCATAATTTAAAAATTCTCATTTCTCTGCATCAAATCAGCACACATACAGGATTTCTAACGTAAAGACACACAGTTTGCAAATTTAATTACCTGTATTGCCTACATATAAATATGTAGTAATAAGCCCCTTTAGCTGGTTCCAAAATCACCCTTAAATGGAAAAGAAAAAAGCAATAATGGTTTATTTTACTTAAAATGCCTAGTGCGAAGAGGCACTTGCCAATAATACTAATCCCCAAGACACACTATCAGGGAAAGTATAAGAAACTGTCTCCTTTAAAGACAAATTGCAGCAAGTGAATTATTTCAGTAACACGAGTTCTCATGGTGTTTGTCAGTACTATCTGCTGTCTAAATCTTCACCTTGGCAAGCCAAATCGTATGAGGAAGCAGAGGAATATCTCTGTCAATATTCTAAGTCAGTACCACTTGAATTCAGTAACCTCCAGAAACCAGGTTCTGGAATGCATAGCCTTGATGCCATCTGCCAAACTTTCATGAGAATGGTGATCTATAGGGATGAGGCAGTCGCAAATGTTAACAGCAACCAGCTCTATAAATGTTACTAGAAATCATCATTACTAGATTCTTGCCCCCAGGGGTCATTTCGTAGAAAAAGAGCTAGGGGGACTCATTAGCATAACTCATTAGCATATGCCACACCCCCTGACATCACCGGAAGTGTGTCCTCCCCACAGCCGGCAGCGACCTCCAGCGGGCACCAGCAGGGAGCTCCAGGCCCCGCCCTCCCGCACCTCACCCGGGGGGATGGCGTCCCCCCGCGGCCCCCCCCAAATGACCCCTGCTTGCCCCGCAAAACAAGATTTCAAGCCATTTCACCCCCACACACACACACACTGCACAAAGACTCTTAAAAGCACAAATTAAAAGTACGAAGTCTGTTGCTGTGGCTGGTCCCGCTGACCTTGTGGAGTCACTGATGTAGCTGTCTGTCTCCCCGCCCTGCGTGCCTCCCTGTATCCCCTGCTATTGTGTCTGGGCTCCACGCAGCTCCCCAAGTTCCCAGCCCTTACAAACTTAACAGAGTCCGCAGCCATCACGGAACACAGAAGCTCCTGGCTTCTCTCCTCCTCCCTTCCCCCACCCTACAGAGGCAGGGATGGAGAAGTGGCAGCTTTGCACTGGGACTGACCAGCTTCACTGGGGGAGGAATTAACTCCCCCCCCCCCAAAAGCATTTTCAGCAAGTTTTTAGATTTTTCAGCAAGCTTGGGGGTACGGGGTCTCCCAAGTCTGGAGAAAAACCTCTCTCTCAGTGAGGGCCCAAATCCACAAACTTAGGTATCTGCAGATCTGCCCACACTTGAGAAACAGATCGATGTAGACATCCCTGTTACAGGAAAGCATACTGGAGAAAGGAATCAAGCACCATCTATTTGCTTTAAATCTCCATCTTCTTAAAGTTGTACTGCAGCTAAAAGAAGCCAGACTCATAACTAATACCACAGAATAGTTTCACCCAGATATTGTGATAAACAAAGCTGTTGGGCTTTCTTGATCAATGATATTATCAGCACACAGTTTTAAGAGAATGTATAAAACTCTGATTTTAAAGGAGACTTTACAGTTATTAAGAGTTGGCTAGAAGATTCGTTCTTCTTGAAAAATGTGAAAAGCCCATCATTAGAACAGCCTTTGCGAGGACACAGCAATGAGTGGTGATTTAAGCAACATGTAAACGCTAGAAGTGGTTAAAGTTGACCGCTAGGGGGCGACAGATGTCACTGAAGTGTCAAACTGCAATTCTAGTCATTCCTATTCATGCAAGCAGGCCCACACATACTTGCATAAAGGATTGCTTCTTAGTGTGGATGTTAAACAACAGGCCCTCAAGTAATTATCCAGATTAGTGTTACAGTTTCTATAATGAAGGGCAATTTCAGTGTAAGCCATCTCAGAAGAGCAATGCTAAAATTAAAATACCAGCTATTCCAGTGTCTCATAAAATGTCAGTAAATTCTTAATGTATCCTCTGCAACAGACAAAAGTGAATATTACAAATGCATGTAAACTAGCTCATACACAAGTGTTCACTGTTAAAGAACATGAATTTAGCTTATTTGAGTCAATACAATGACCCAACAAAGAAGAACAATGAAAGAGAAATCTTAAGGACATTTCATGATTATGAACATTACTACGATCATGGCCTATGAGGCTGGCCTGCCTCATCTACCATGTTGAGTATGTAGGTAGCAATATCTTCTTCTGTAGGCGCATCCGACACCACCCAAGAATCATTTGCTGCTGTCACCTGCAGACGACATATAGGGCAATTTCTGTGATGACCCCTCCTGTATAAGGAAGCCAGAAAAGGAGGCAGGATCAATTACTGTTTGTATTTAAGATATCAAGACCACCTTATCTTTCAAAATACACTACAAGAGTAACGGAAGCTCAGGTGAATAGCTGGAATAGATGAACTACTGCATCTGCATTATCCTTAAGGCAAATCATATAATGCCTCGCATCTCCTTATAAGCAATTTCTTGAAAAGACATCAAGGAAGAAGAACTCAGTAGTACTGACAAAAGAAGAACACCCTTCTGCTCTTACAACACTGACAAAGAAGAACACCCTTCTGCTCTTACAACTGCAAACGTTTTCGCTATTTAAGTTAAACTTACTGTCCTGCAAACTAAAACTATTGCTGATCCTGCCTTCAGTCAACAGGGTGGACAAGAGTCAACACATTCATCCTGAACCACCTTTGTTCCTTCAGCCTTTTTGTCTCATGACGTCACTTTTAGACCTCCAATCACAACCACGGCACTATGGATCCTTCCCAGGATCTGTGGCTCTAGCAACTGAACACAGTGCCACCAGTAGGAAGTCTTCAGCAGTACTGAAAACACTGGAACTCTGCCTTTTACAGCCTGAACCATTATCCTTGAAAGAGAACTTAACACAATACAGTACTGTTCTACCACGGCATACCCATGAATCACATTCATCTTGCAAATCCCCACAAACACCCAAATTCTAACAGAACAGATTATCCTTGAAAGAGAACTTAACACAATACAGTACTGTTCTACCACGGCATACCCATGAATCACATTCATCTTGCAAATCCCCACAAACACCCAAATTCTAACAGAACAGAATTCCATTGGTACTTTTTGTCCCGTCCCCCCCCCCAAAAGCCAGAGACTACCCAGATTCCATTCTGTTTTCAAGTACAATTGGCAATATTGTTTATCTTTATCATTTAAAACAGGCATAACAAGATTGTAATCTTTTAACTTCCAGAAATCTGCTTATGTAAAATGTTTGTCCAGCAGATCGTTTGTCCAGAATATGTGGCAGGGTATGAGCTTTTGTGAGTCACGGCTCACTTCTTCAGATATAGCTAGAATGTATACAGTATGCTTGCTACCCCTACAAAATGTACCCCATAGTCCACATATCTGCCATAATCAGTATCTACCCATTGACAAGACCGGGATGCATTTTCATTTCAGTGGAAGGTAGAACAATCTGTTTCCACCAGTTCCTTTATTACGGGGAATTGAGCCAAAGACATCAAAGGATTATTTCACAACATAAAGCAGTCACACAACACAGCCTGTTTCAGGCACTTTACCATTTATCAATGCATTTCTGGCAAAAGCTGTGAGCACATGGTAAGATCAGATCAGCGCGTCCATCCATGCAGATGCAACATTCTTCCTCATCAGTCAGTTGCTTCACCCTACAATGCAAACAGCACTATTACAATCATGGCAAATCAGAACTCAGACAAAATACAGCATCTTTCTACAGAATGTGCACCTGTAACAGTTTATACATGCCAGGTGTTAATTTCAGTTTTGTTTCCCCCTTATTTGCAAAACAGGATATCATGTAGTAGGAGCTAGTTCATGCTTTTTTCCAAATCTTTTACATTAGAGTCAATGGCATTCCAAGAGAATTTTCCAGATGCCAAAATAAAAAGTGGAACAAAGCCACTAAAAACAGACCTGTAACGGTTTCTCCAACTGGTTTAAGTTCATTTAGACTTACACAATCCATTTTTATTTTAGAAGCAAGCCTTTAGCATAGCTAGTAAATAAGAATAATTTGATTCCTTGTGTTTCTTTCCCATTTGATAATCCGTCAGCTGTTCTAGTTGAACTTCTTCATATCACAGATCTATTCCGTGGCCATAAGATAACATTACGCAAAGTATATTCTACAAATAAGAAAATTAAAAATGCATGAAATCTAGGGATACATTCAGATGTGATTACACAGCTTACACAATCCCCTTGCTCCTGCGATCTCCCACCTTTAGTGCACAGAGCATGACTGAAAACCTTCTCATGTGATCAAGCTTTAACTGGCTGCGATTTCTCAACAGAGATCTGACAACCTGAGGAGGGGGGGGGCAGAAAAATGAAGGAAGCAAACTGGCTGTTACCCCCACTCCAGACTTTTAAATTTCCCCCCAGAAGAAATACTGCAAACTTGGGGGCATACTGAGAAAACTCCCATGAAATATTCTCTGTTTTGGAATCAACAAAATGCTCAAGACAAGGTTTTACCTTACTCAGAATGTACAATATGAATATATTAACACAGGAAATCTACAGTGTTAGAGAATGAGAATTCCTGTATACGCTGTAGACAAATACAGCCTTTCCAAGGACATGTATATGGTTTAGATGTGAAAAAGTCGTCCACTGTTAATATGCTATAATGCATATGACAGATAATACACTACTAAAGAGTCTGATATTTTCAATGTTATAAGGTCTGTGCTTTCCACAATCTGTAAGTGAACCCAAGATTCAGGAAGGTATAATCACCCACTGCAGAAAAAAACACTTGGTGCGAAGCAGGGTGGGGCAGCAGAGTCAGTTTCCAGCAACTGTTGTCTTCATTTTCCGTTTCCCTGCCAGTAGCCTCCCTGAGTCAGTGTCAGAGTTTCACACTGGCTTGTTTACTTAAAAGATTAGTAACCTTGACATTCATATAGTTGAAGCTGAAATATCTCTCTCTGACTTGTTCAGTGAAGATTTTTGTGTTACAACTAAGGCAACAGATGCAGAAGTCAAGCCCGTACCCATTACCATGACAAGCAATCTGCACTATTTGGCTCCATCATGATTTGGGCTCTGTAGGGATCTCCTGCTGCTCAAGCCACCTGCGCACCTCTAAGAGATACAAGCAGTGCACCATTAGGAGGATGCAGATCCTTCACTCATGGAAACCAGGAAGAAATTACTTGGATAATAAGTATGGGTATACAAGCTTCCACTCTGTCTGCAGCTGCCTTAGTCTCTATGGGTGCATTTCTCTTTCATTAGCTTACAGATTCACGAGATTTCCAATACGATACGTGCACATGTCTTCTCATTCAGGAGACCAGGTCATATCTAGAGGAAAAGTGAATGTGACCCTTCACAATTCTAACTGGCTAAGTTTTGCAACTGTGGAACACCGAAATTCTGTTTATACACATGACAGCTCAATAAATATGCAACGCTGAAGCAAACAGAAAAGGATTTTCAATTAAAGTTCCAACAGAAATTTCCCTCTCATTGTACTGATGTACCTTCCCAGCCAAAGGCTGGCCTGACAAGATGAAACAGACGACAGACCCTCTGCAGCTCCTTCTGAGTCAGTGTTCTGAGAAAGAACACCCGACGCTTGACTTGTGATATCTTTATAAAGCTGAATGAACTGATACAGATTCATGATTCTTGATGCTTCAACAATGCCGCTTGTCTTGTTTATCTAAAGATACAAAAAGTTGTCTTAGCAATTTTTAAATCGTTTCATTTGTTCCCAATATTAATTATATAAATATACACAAAGAAGACATGAACTAACAATTCTAAAAGATTGACACCCAAAGCAAGCATGAGGCATTTCCTACAGCATCATGGCTTTAGAATGACCCTATAATTCAGTCATCTTTTAGTTTCCCTTTGGATAACTTTCTAGTTCTTTTACAGGATTTGCAAAGAATTATGAAGACAGCAAGACTGATACTACTTTCACATTACTCACAAAAATATACTTTGCCCCCCCCCATTTCTCTTTTTCTTAGCTGGATTAGGCACAAATTCCAACAAAATCTCAAATTTTAACTCAATTTTGTCACGTAATAGAACCAAAGTTTTACCAGCAGTTTTAGATTATTGATGTTAAGTAGTGGTTTTTAAATGTATTTTATTTGTAAGATGCCTTGAGTTCCTATAAAAAGTAGAAAGGTGGCTAATAAATGTTTTAAATTAATAAATAAATAAATAAAAGTAAACAGCTTTGATAAGTTTACCTTAGTACACACTACTCGAACAGCCACCTTCCAGAGTGCAGAAGAGTCGGAGCCTGGCTGCACTTCGAATAACAGATGCTTTTCCTGACCGGAAGCTAATTTAGCAGTTCTGAAATAATTTAACATTCATTTAACACAGCATAGTCAACATACCAGACACAACGCAGTTTGGCTCACAAAGGAGATAATAATTTATTTACCTTTTCTTTGGATACCTAAGTTATCATTTGTGTGCTGGAACCCACATCCTTTCTGGCATATTATGTTGAGCTTTTTAGGGTTTACAATTTATTTGCCATTATCATCTGATCAATCGCATTTCAAATAACTGTTAGTAAAATTAAGATACATTTCAAGAGTTTCTTAGTTTGGATTCTTAGGATGATTATGACTTGTGTCACCCACATCCTAACCTTGCCAGTAAGGGACAATTTTAAACTGTCAATGTTCTAATAGAAAAATATGATAATTAAGCTTTCGGCATGAATCAAGGATGCATTTCTGCCAATATCTATCTCTTTGCATCTTGATCAGTTGCACTATTATTCAGTAGCTTTATTCTTACAGTTTTTCCTCAAAACAAACACTGGAAAACTATATCAATTATCTTGAATAGGGTAATTTTTGAACATTTATTTTAAAGTGATTATAAGGAAGGCAGGATAAAGTGATTTTCTGCTATACTTTTAATGCTACATTCATACCTAATGCAATTAGCCCTCAAGCTACCCATTCTACATGTCCTTCTTGATCAAAGCACACTTACTACAGAGTAAAGGAACGCTGCGTTTAGTAACCGGGGGAGTTCTTTACACGAACAGTGAAGCATTCAACATGGCCAGAAACATCATTTACAGTGATAGATTCTGAAACAGCATGAAAAACTGGCTGGCTGTAGAATCATATCGCAGGAGATATGTTAAGCTTTGCAGGAGACACTTACAGATGTAACGACACTATCGTAAGAGATTTTTCATATTTGGGACATTGCTCTTTTTTGTTTGGATAGGGTGGAAATGACCTTGTAGATACATTTATTTTTAGCTTGTATTGATTGCACTAATTTTTCAATCGTGTTTTGAGCTATTTACGGATTATTGCTATATCTGATAAATTCATACACGGTGTGGGATTATCTTTGTTACAAACGTTTAATAAACATCTAATCATGTCAGCTGTGGCCTCTGAAACTGTAGATCACAATGTATTTCTTAGTCTAAGATATCACGGCGTTCTTGGTGTTCAGCTGCACCGTACCAACGCAGTTTCAGAAGGTAGCCATGCTGGTCAACTGTAGAAGAGCTCATAAGGGGAGCTTTGATGAACAAAAACTCCGATGAAAGGAGACTTGAGTCTTGAAAGCTTATACCCCGAAAATCTTCTTGGTTTCTAAAGTGCCACTGGACTTGAAGCCTACTACCACAGATACCCTGATTGAATTTTACAAACATGAGCATTTCAAAATGTTATAAATATGCACACCAACGCAGTTTCAGAAGGTAGCCATGCTGGTCAACTGTAGAAGAGCTCATAAGGGGAGCTTTGATGAACAAAAACTCCGATGAAAGGAGACTTGAGTCTTGAAAGCTTATACCCTGAAAATCTTCTTGGTTTCTAAAGTGCTACTGGACTTGAACCCTACTACCACAGATACCCTGATGGAATTTTACAAACAGGAGCATTTCAAAATGTTATAAATATGCACATTTGTTAAAGGTAAAGGTTTCCCTTGCTCGAAAGCCAGTCAAGTCCGACTCTAGGGTTGCGGTGCTCATCTCCGTTTCAAAGCCGAAGAGCCAGCGCTGTCCGAAGACGTGTCCGTGGTCATGTGGCCGGCATGACTAAACACCAAGGCGCACGGAACGTTGTTACCTTCCCACCGAAGTGGTACCTATTTATCTACTTGCAGTTTCTTGCTTTCGAACGGCCAGGTTGGCAGGAGCTTGAACTAGAGATGGGAGCTCACTCCGTCATGCGGCACTCGGGTCTCGAACTGCTGAACTACCGACCTTCCACAGCCTGCAGTTCAGTGTCTTAACCATTTGAGCCACATTTGTTAGGTGAATATTAATAGCTGCATTTACCTTAGGTGAGTGGAGTGAGTTGCCAGGGGGTCGTATCAAGCATAGGGTTCAATATTAAGCACAGCTCCTACAGTGCTGCTATAATAGAGTGGTTAGTCTATCTTTAGAGAGCCAGTTTGGTGTAGTGGTTAAGTGCACGGACTTTAATCTGGGAGAACCGGGTTTGATTCCCCACTCTTCCACTTGCACCTGCTGGGTGACCTTGGGCAAGCCACTGTTCTGATAAGAGCTGTCCTTGAAAAAGAGCAGTTTCTGTCAGACCTCTCTCAGCCCCACCTACCTGATGTCTGTTGTGGGGAGGGGGAGGGAAAAGGAGTTTGTAAGCCGCTCTGAGACACCCTTGGGTAGTGAAGGGCGGGGTATAAATCTAATCTCATCTTCTTCTTCTTTCAACAAGGGGTACACAGGTTAAACAAACAGAAGCCTTCAGCAGCACTTCACTCAGCCTGACAATCTGCTAGGCATATGCACTATTAAACATTAAGTCACTTTATGTATCAGAGAAACACCGAAAGCTTACACATCATTAAGTTCAGCAACTCTGCCCAAGAACTCTTCATACGTCAGGAAGCCACTTTCTCGAACAAGAGATACATGTTTGACTACTTTTTCTGGTAACTTATTAATAACTGTTTGTGTCTGGCTTGAGAGTTGCTGGCCCATGATAAAATTCTCCAGCTCAACGTTCAGGAAGAAAGGCCGCTTCATTCAGTTGGGAAGTTTCTAATAAATACATTTTAAAAACCGTATTAGTATAAACAGAATAATCAGATCACTTATCTCCCACATCTTTTGAAAACTGCTAGCTAGCTACACACTAACATCTACACCCTAATCCTGAGATGCCCTGCTTCAAATTATAGTTAATTCTACAGGTACATCATGCAAGTGCAACCTTAAAAACCAGGCATGTTTAGTTAATAACCTGAGAAAATGTTATTAACACACCCACAGAATCTTTATCTCCATTATGTACATAAAAATTGCAACATACAACATCAATTACTATAATTCACAGCAATCTGTCTTTTAAAACTCTTGTAGCCTGAAATCCAGCACCTCTTAACAGAAAGGGAATTGTCGCAATCATTCAAGTTAAGCCATCCAGAAAATAACAGTACACAGCAAGGACTGATGATGGATGATTAGAGTGGAAGAGCAGCATGAAGAACTTGGACATGGAAAATGCCTCTTAATGATATGTGTGGTGCAGAATACACTGTAATTTACACGGTAACTAAACCCAGACTCTTGAGTTTTCATTATTTAAAACTTCTTCTCTAAAGACACTGGCATTTGATCTCAGGAACTTTAGACATAAGTCTGCAGTAATCATGCAATTCGTAACTGCCAATAGTCAATAGACTAAAGTCATGAATCTGTGAAGGTTAAATTTATTCTTTTAATTTAAATTTAATTGAAGATTAAATGTATAAATAGCCATACAGTGCACCATTTATAGTAGCGGTGCTCACTGTGAGCGCTCACTGTGCATCACTTCTTAAACTTACTGAGACAGCACATGTTGGACTTACATCTAAACTGCAAAAATCTTATCTTTATGCTACTTATGCTTGCCAATGTTTGGAAAAATATTTGGAACAACCTAGGTTCATCAGTGACTAAACACTAGGTGTACAGCTTATTACAGGAGGCAAAAAATTTTATTTTAGCTGAGAGAAATCATATCCAATGTACCTTCTTAGTATGAGGCTGCTAATCTGAGTGAAGTGATCCTGTGATCGCATGTAAACACTCATTTTTAACTAAACCACATCAGCTACATCTATGTTGTTCAGTTGCACAGTCAAGTCTGACTCTTCGCGACCCCATGGACCACATCACGCCAGGCCCTCCTGTCTTCCGTCATGCTCCGGAGTTTGCTTAATTTCATGTTATCTATAGCTTCTCTCTAATGTCCCGCAATACTATTTATTTTTACTGAAATGGACTGCTATCCTAAGCAGTTACACCCTTTGACTGAAAGCAACTGGGTTAGAAGGCTGTAACTATGCTTAGGATGACACTGCAAGCCAAAGTTTTAGTTCTCCCCAGAAACAGAATGGGATTTTTTTTTAAAAAAAACCCCACCTTAACTAGAGTAGCTAGCCTTTGGCCCCGGTCACACGAGCGTGAAAATCTGCACTGGGAGGCATTTTAGAGGACTGGAAGGGAGGCATTTTAGAGGCGGAGCTAAAAGCGCGGGAGTGCGATCTTACGGTCCCCTGCGGCTCTGTCCTCAGGCCGTCGGCAGCCGATCACACCAGGGAGGCAACAGCTTGGTCCCAGCAAGGCAACATGGCAGTACTGCGTTACTGCACATGCGTGGGTCGCAGACGGCTGCTGGATACCACGGGCTACCCGGTGTGTCTCCGATCAGACATCCAACCGTGCTGCGCAGAAGCTACTACCTTTTCCCCAGTGCCTTTTAAATCCGCTTCTTCGAGCTGACGGTACATGTGCGCTACGCTTCCCAGATGTTGTGGTATGATCGCACAGATTTGATGCGGGGCAAATCCTCCCTGTGACCAGGACCTTTATCTCACTGATATAGGCCCACCCGGTTGACACACAAGGGCACAGCACTTCAAAACAGTGCCGAATGCCCCTGTTTGGTGCTACGAACCCATTTTGGAGAGAGGGCTTAAGATCACATGGGACCTAGTTGGGAGACATTCCTTTCTGCCTGGGGGGGAAAACCAAAACACTCGTTTTAACATCGAACCGCCAGAAAAAAAGGCCTAGGTCCCGAAGTGGGCGTCACTGCCCCACTGGGACAACTCGGCCGAAGTATTGGCTAAGCACACGTGGAACAGGAGCACGGGGAGCCGTCAGTTCTAACACGAGTGATCTGGGGTCCACGGGCGCAGGACCCGGGACCTCTCTTGGGCGGCGTCCGTCTTCCGCCCCCCCCCCGCCAGTG